TGTCATTTGTACCAAGAAAGGTATCCAGGATGAAGATGACCAGATAGGAAAACATTTGTAAGTATCCATCACCGCCTTTGTGAACATGGAAGTTTTTCACCTTGTGTTGCCAGCAGGGGACTACCAAGATCTATGACTCATGAAGTAGAGGAGGATATTCTGGGTGTTTTGACTGAAACTCCTGGAATCAACACACTAAGGGTATCAGTGCAAGTGGGTGTCACTCATTTGACTGTCTGGAGAGTGTTGTGTGAACAAAAGCTGTATCCCTACCATCTGCAATGTGTACAGGCCTTGTCACTACAAGATTACCCGTGTGAGTAATGTTCTGCCAGTGGTACAAATCCTAATTTTTTTTTTAAATTCGTTTAGTGGGGGTGGAGTCCAACTGGGTACGCTTGACACGGTGGCCACTGATTGGTCTATTATAGCCTGCCCTGGGTGATTATGATGATAGAGAATTTTGTGGAATGAAGATTGGCGAGGGAGGAAACCCGCCCCAGTGCCACTTGGTCCACCACAAATCCCACTTGACCAGACCTGGGATTGAACCTGGGCTGCTGCGGTGGAAAACCAGCGACTAACCGCTTGAGCTATGGTGCGGCCTGGTACAGCTCCTAACTTCCCTGCCTTTGAGATATTTACAGAGGAAGCACAGTTCACAAGAGATGGGATCCAGAATTTTCACAATGAGCACTTGTAGGCAGATGAAAATCCACATGTGATTTTTCCATCACATCACCAATAGCGGTTCTCCATCAACAGGACAGACTTACAAAGCTTTCTTGGAAAACAGCATCTGATCATTCGTTGAGAACTGCACTTTATGCATGATGGTGCTCCCATACATTCCAGTCTTGTTGCCCGCAGGTACCTGAATCAAAACTTTCCTGGTCGGTTGACAGGTAATGGTGGAACAACTGCCTGGCCTCCATGCTCATGTGATTTAAATCCACTGGATTTCTACTTGTGGGGCCATTTAAAATCATTGGTACATTTGTCTCCAGTGAATGATATGGAAACTCCCCAAAATCAAATTGTGGCAGATTTTCAGAAATATGCAAAATGCCAGGAATTTGGGATCATCTTTGGGTGGCAGTGAGATGTCGAGCTGAGGCCTGCATTCAGGCAGAAGGTGGACATTTGGAACATTTACTGCAAGGTAGTGTGAAGAGCTGAGTGTCATAGACACACCTTAAAAACTCGAGAAACTATGCGTTTCCGGACCTATGCTGATATAAACTATTTTTATTATCCACATATGAGAAACCATTTCCGAAGTTATGCCATGTATTTTTGAAACGTTCTGTATACGTGGAATCCTTCGAATGTATTTAGTAATTGGTCTTTGTTTTCAGTGTGTAGTATTTCTACTGCTTGGTCTATTGTACTATATGTGTGTGTGCTGTGTCAAGTGTCTGTTGAGTGTATTTTGAGTTGTTTGTTTTTATGGCTTCATATATCAGGTTTTAAATGTATGTCCTGTGTCTCCCATGTATTTCAGTAGACATTTGTTGCATTTTAATTGGTGTATTCCACTTTCATATGGGTGGCATGAGTTATTATATATAATTATTACATGTGTAAGTGGGTTTCTGGTATATACTGAATAATTGGTTGTGTTTACTTGTGATAGGTAATTTAGTTTGTGTGTTTCTTTTTCAATAGTTCATTTTATTTTTGGGTGTACTGCATTGAATTTCATTAACGTGTTCTCTATATTTGTAGGAGGGCATGCGGCAGCGTAGTTGGTTGAGGGGCTATGCTACAAGCCAGGAGGTCATTGGATTTTTTTCAATTGACCTAATCCTTTCAGCCACGCTATGGCCCTGGGGTCGACTCAGCCTCTAACAGAAATGAGTACCAGGAATTAATTAAATAATTTTCATGGGGAGTAAAGCGAGGCTGGCACATAAGGCTGACAACCTTACTGCCATCTTTGAGCCGATTGTCTAGAAAATGTGGGACCCTCAATGTCTCACAACCATATGGACCTTCACGGCCTGTTACAGGGATAGCTTTACTTACTATATTTGTAGTGTATGTTATATAAAATTAATATAACTTCTACATATCTGTAGTAGTTAACAACTTCATGTTTATTTAGAATTTGATGACTTTGGTATGTGTTCTAAATATTTTATGAAGGTGTCAGCCAGGACTGCTGATGTAGGCGCTCTGATTGCTAAACCTTCATCTTCTTTATAGAATTGGTTATTAAATTGTAAATAGTTTTGTTCAAAGATGGTGTTTAATAGGGTTTTTAACTAATGTTTCTTGTGGTCACTGTATGGTTCCCATTGCTGAGAATTTCTTTTATCATGTTTTTAACATCTGTTGTTTGTATGCTAGTATACCTGTTTTTGATGTTAAAGGAGCAAAGTTCTGCATTTTCATCTATTTTTGTATTTTTGAGATTTTGAATCATGTTACTAGAAATTGGGATATTATAAGTGTTGGGCAGTTGTAATATATTGCTTAGTTCCTTGGTATTTTGCTAGTTTATATCTGGAATGTCTTCCCGATTGACAGTTAGGCAGATTGGTTTATGTTGCTTATGTAGTTTTATGGCTCCATGTATACGTGGTGCTCTAGGATTCATGTTGATGTATTTCCATTTGTTGTTTTTGTTTGTGTTTTTACTGTTGTTAATGTTATGTATTTGTAATGTCAAGTGGTAACTTTGTGAAGGTGTTTTGTGCTATAAATTCTATTTTGCTAACATAATTTTCTTTGTGTAATATGACAAGGATGATACCTTTATCTGCCTTGGTTGTAATTAGTTGGTTTTGCTTTATTTTCTGCTTAACCTTTATCGGACGAACGTCATCATATGATGTCGTTAAAAGTTAGGGCAGCTGGCCGAACGTCGTCATATGATGTCGCGGATTCCACGCGTGTAAGGTTTTTTTTAATATTATATTAAAAATATAAATTGTTGTTCTATTTACATGATTTTTGGTCACCACCTTTATAATGAGACAGCCTTCGTTCCTGCATGATCAAATGTAATCTAGGGACGTCATATGATGTTAAAAGTAAGGACAAATTTAAGAACGACATCATATGATGTCGCGCATTCCACGCGTGTAAAGATTTTTT